CTTTGTCATATTGTTAGTAATCGTATCAATAAAATCTTTTAAAAATCCATGATTATCTTTATTATTAATATCATCATTATCAACTTGTTGATACCAAAGAATCAAGGTTTTTAACAATGGATGTTTATTGATAAAATCGACTGATAAACTAACATTTGAGTCAACATAACTATTTTCCATTATTTTCTTTTGTTGTTGCTGCTTTAAGAAATCAAGTAGATAATTTAGATTATTCATTAGTCCAATTTTTACAATAAATTGACCATCATCAAGCTGAAAGCACGATTTTTCTCTAATTGATAAGAAATTAGGCTCCGTGCATTTCATATTAAATATCTCGAATATATTTGGATTTCGAATTAAACTTTGTGTAGATGTTATCGATTGAAACTTCAAAACATCGACTATTTGTTGTCCAACTAATTCTTCAATAAAAGTATAAAATTCATTGTTTTTTAAAGAAAAAACATCCGTAAATGAATCATCCATTGGAAGGAAAATAATAATATTTTTAAAATATTTTATCTTAAAAAACAGTAAGAAATAAGTCCAATGAAAATAGTTGAAAAACTGTGTGCAGATTCATATTCACGATATTCTTTTTTTTTATAAAAATTCTAATTGACAACCTTTTGTGATAAGATGATGCATCGAGCCTATGGAAAAAATACATTATTGTAAAAGATGAAATGTCGCTGAAAACGACAAAATAAGAATCTCGACAATATAGAGAGCATAATTGCAAAAGATATTGGATGATTGTATTCGTGAATCGTAAGCAATGTTATTTGAAGATGAGTATCCATTATACTTTCTTCCTTTCACATACATCGTTTTCGAGAAATTTATTCGATAAACAATAATAACTGAACATGTTTCAATTAGATGCTCTTATTGATACATCTGTTTTACCATCAAATGTAATGTCATTACGTGATGATAAATTTATTGATTTTGTTAAAGCAGAAGCCGGTGATGGTGCTGCAGCTCTACTTGAAATTCAAGGTATTAATTGCGTAAAGTCATTGGTGATGACGTCTAATGTTTATTCTATTATGGACGTGAATAGTAAATGTTTAAATGATTTTAAAAACAAATATGGTTATATGCAAGACGATGGTACATTTGTTATACAACCTGGAATAAAAGGAAATACCGAATATCTTATTGATTTGTTAAAAAAGAAATGTATTGAAGATGCCAAAGAAACTAAATCTTCAAAATATTGTCAATCATCATCGTCAACAATAGCAAAATCAACATCATCTGTTCCATTAAATAGTTCACCAGAAAAAATATCAACCAAATCTTCCAATTTATCAGTTAGTCAACATAAAACATATATTATTGATACATTGAGGGTGGGGTGTGGGTGTGGGTGTGGGTATTTGTTGTCTCTATATCTACACCCACACCCACACCCACCCACATTCACACCCACACACCCACCCACACCCACTCCACACCTACCAACACCCACCAGCCACACTCACCCCCACGCCACCCACCCCCACGCCCACACCCCACCACACCCACAGCCACACCCCACCACACCCACTCACCCCACACCCCACACCCCACATCCACACCCCACACCCACCCACCCACACCCATACATTAAAATTACTTGTCTAGTGCTATCGCTGCTTTAAGCAAAAGCTTGTTGTATATATGATATTTTACTCTGCGATTGGATATAGTATGATTTATTTTCAGCTAGGGGTTCCATTGAGCCTCTACTTTCCTTGAGAAGTCTATAGCAAATAGCATTGTCAATGAATGTTCTAGGATCTATACAAATTTCTAGTAGAATTTTCCAGGTCTATTTTACGTTTTCGTATTACTGTTGTGAACTTTTTTGTTATGTGGCCTCTGAAAAAATTTGAATATGATATCCTGTGGTTTTTCGAAATCAGTGGAGTTCGAGTTTAGCGGAAGTGTAAATAAAGAAGAGTCGTGTTGTGGAGAAATCGAACGAAAAATAGCAGCGGCTAGCCGTGGGTGGCACTCCGGAGAGGCGTCCACGAGCGACTTATCGCTGCACTAGAAAGATTCTTGAAGAAAGGCTTCAGACTGCTGAGACTTATCCAGTGAACATCAACAGTTTAGATCGAATGGATATGGATAAGGAATAGCAGTTGTTGAGAACTGAGAAATGTTTTGAAATAAACTGTAATAATGCCTTTTCTTCACATGCACAATATATGTATAGTGCATTTGACGGAAAAATCACTTGAAAACTTTATGTTCATCTTATTGTCATGAGACTTGAATAAAATAAACAGGGTTTTCTGCTGGAATGTTTCATAATAAAGGGTGTTCACTAAGTTCTGACCCTATTCGTATTTTGATTATAACTTTTTTTATTTTCAACTCTTAGACCTGATTGTTTTCCCAAAAGATGCGTCGTAAAATTCTCTATAAGACTTGATAAAGAGTATTTCTGTAAAAAGTGAAGTAGAGAAATTGAACGAAGAATATCCAACGCCTAGAAAAGGGCCAACTTTCTAAGCTATTTTCATTTACAATCTTTATAGTATTTCAAACAACTTGAAAGAAAACGAAACAACAGTGAAAATGTTTTGGAGTACTTTGAAATGTGCTCTTTCTCGTCATGGATTTCAAAGTCATTGAAAAATCTAACATTCCATAATGTATTATAAAATGAACAAAAACTGTTACCTTTCGCCGACTAACTTTATGAAGAAAACTCTCAGGTAAGCTTTAAATAAATTTTTGTTGTTG